TACTTGGCAAGCATATGCAAAAGCTGCTCTTAATTCATATTCAATTATGCATAACTAATGCACACAGCATCCCTGTTATACACTCCAGTAGGTTATTCAATTAGGCAATATTCACCTAGCATTTAACTATACCTTCAGCGTGAATGAAATTTGTCTTTCATAAAAACTGAACAGAAGTCATTTGAGCTGGGAATCACTGCTTCATTTAATAAGGTCCAGTCCATGATCATCTTTCTCTTAAACATTTCTTACCCATCCACTCTTCACTCTCTATCATCTATTTATTCACTTTCTCTTTTTAAAAATATTTTAATTTTATGTATTTATTTAAAACCAACTTACAAGGGAACTTGTTTCTATATTGCATTTTCGTGCATATTTTATTTTGGTTGATTCTCCCAGCCCCTTCCCCTTCTCATCTCCCTACTCCTCACTGTACCCCTTTGATTTCAGTGATCCACCCTTCCACTTTGTTCTATTTTTCCCCCACTTCCTTCCCTTAGAACTTCTTCTCCCACACCCATTTCTAGTTTCCTGGCCTTTACCCATGTTTACTCCTGCCCAGGCACACCGATTTAGCAACTAGAAGCTAGGATCTACATATGAGGAAGAACAAACAGTACTTGTCTCTCTGAGCATGGGTTACCTTACTTAATATAGTATTTCCCAGTTCCATTTGTTTTCCTGAAATTTTCATAATTTTCTTTTAAGCTAGTTGGTTCGTAGATAAAGGAATCACTTGGATAAATCCATTTTGCACTTACTATTGAATGCTATAATCACTAAAATTTCTCAAGTGAAATTGATAATATTCAAAGGTCCACAGGGCCTTCCTGGAGAAATGCCGAGACTTAGGGCATACATAAAAACATTTCTGAAACCCCAAGTACACTTGGCTTTAACATGCCTGGCCAGAGTTATAGCTGTTTTTATTCTTCCTGGCTGTATTTCTTCCAGTTCCTCTTCCTTTCTCCTTCTTCATTCCTCACCCAGACTTCACACCTGCCACAGAGCCTCCTCATGTCCCTCAGAGAGTCTTGGGCTCTCTACTGCTGACATTTGAGGATGGGTAATTCATTGCTGTAGGAGACGCCCCTGCTTTGTATTCATATATATTTAGTGATGCCATTGGCTTCCACTCAACAGATTCCAAGAAATATCTACAGGCATTGCCAGATGTCTCATATTGGGATCAAAAATCATCCTTAGTTAAGAATCATGACAATAGTTGAATCATCAATTCCTAGAGTACCATTCACACACCTGGTACACATGCATACATGCAGGCACTCATACATCTACATGAAAGGAAAACAAACTTCAAGCAGAAGTTCCTTCCCGAGCTCTGCCTTTTTTCTGGGTTCGGATAAATTAATTCTAACTTTCAAACTAGTTTCAGTTTAGACCAAAACAATCCATCCCCTCTTCACTTCATGACTTGGGTTTAAAATGGGCATTATTTCTAAAACAAGATGGAGGGAGAAGGAGTTATCTTATGACAGATGGCCTCAGGAAACATTGTTTATCAAATAAAGTCTAATTCATTTATCAATTCCAGCTTATTTGCCAATCTGAAGAAGATATGAACATGGACACAGTCTATTTGGCAGTTAGCAGTTACACCAGATGCCATTAGCGTGAAAGGGCTTTTTGTATTTTGGCACCAGAGATGTGTATGCTGGACCTTTCAGCAGATCATAAACAGCCAGCACGTTCTTGTGTGACCCACGCTGCCTTGTTAGGTTAATGCAAGGGGTCATTTTCTGAGCCCCCATGCTTTGCTGCCCGTTCATTGCAGCCTTGGATAAGGAAGACACGAAATCAAGGAAACAGGGATTCCTGTAGGCAGCAGGAGCCACCATGTGGATCACTAACAGGGCATCTTGGGCACATGTACATCTCTGAGGGTTTGTTTTGTTTTGTTGTTTGTTTTCCTGACTTAAAAAAAAAAGTCAACTAAAACCCCAGCTAGCCATCAGTGGGCTGACAAGAATCTGCCAAGTTGTTCTAACTTACTGGTCTTTATTCATTCCCCCTCGCATATATAGTAAAGTTCATCAGAGAGGAGTTAAGACATTTTGCAGTCCTGTTTCCTAAAGCTTATTCTCCTACGTCACCAACTCCCACTGAGACAGTCCAGATATCCTGATATTACAGCTTCTGGGTTAGGAAACAAAATTTAGTATTAAATTTCCCATCAGGTGGTTTTGTCATGTTCTACATAAAAGAGAGTGGCACTAACACCGGTATGTTTTATCTGCACTTTGGGAAGATGCAGAAGTCAGCAGACTGCTCAAGGGCACCTGGCACTCTTCCCTCTTCCTCGCTCTTCCAAGCAGTCTGTGCTTGGCTCTTAGGCGCCACCTTCTCCTCACCCAGCACTCTGAGGCTAGGGTCGGTTTCCATGGCTCTTTGAGACTGATCATTCTCCCCACTTGCATTCTGCCTGTGGCTGGTGAGGACACACAGAACGGCAGTGAGACCTCTTTATTATCTAAGCTCATCCCAGATGATCTCCTCCAACCCAGCAGGTCTAAGTTCCATTCGTTTGCTCAGGACTCCCCACATTTTTGATCTCCAAGGTGGAGATTTTGAGTGGGCTTTACTATTCATATTTCCAACTTAAAACTGCTCACCAAAGTTCTTGGATTCTTACAGACTCATCAAGATCAGTATGGTCCTTCTAATGCATTCCTCCTCTGATAATCCCAATAAAGTGTGAAGGTTTATTTCCTGCAGCCCCTTGCCTCCACCTGCTCACCTTTGCTATTTGGGGGACCCCTCTTTGTGCTAGAGTAATTCTAGAATATTCTCTCTCTGTATATGGCTCTCTGTCTCTTCTAGATGCACACATGTAAACACACACACACACACACACACACACACACACACACACACACACACACACACACGCATGCATGTAAAGAGAAGATCCTGGGCTTCTTTATTACCCAAAGGTCCCTGATTACTCTTTGTTCCCTCATTTCAGCATGATAAGAGGGAGGTTGGTGATGGCCTGATACTCATCCTTGATCACTATCCTTGTTATTTTGTATGCTCAATGCACAAAAGCTTTTGATGTGACATTTATATCATGGCAATGTTGACACCAAAGTCTGAGTTGACTGTAACGCATCAAAAAGTACAAAAATACTTTGGAAAAAAGTCGTTAATATTTTCCATGTTGTCACATGGAAATGAGACAGATATCCCTATCATACTCTACAGTGTCACTTATCTCCTAATCCGAGTGGATACAAAGTGACATAAGGAGTCATGGTTAAAAAAGACGCATGTTCAACAGTCTTCCATCAAAATGACAATAGCCTGCATGACAGTTCAGCTTATCAATACATGAGTTTCATAAAACTAGTTAGGATCAGTGCTTAAAGTATTTTGGCAAAATTGCAAAAGTTCAAAATTTTCAGGAGGAAAAGCTTAAACCTTTGTTAAAATAATAGATTTTCTTCAGTCTAATTCCAGATACCAACTGTTAGCTACCAGCTCCAGTCTATAAAAGTTGATAAATTTTCCTTTAAAATGTTGATATAAAGCATCCTAGAGTGATTCAGTGGTTTGTTATCTTTGGGTCACCTTAAGTGACTTCTCCTTTCAGTCACAGCCAGATGTGACTGAGTATTCTGGAATAGTAGAACATGTGAGAGACATAAGCACAGAAATAAAAACACCAAGGCCATCCCTGTCTTTTAGTCTAAAGATAAACGTGCTGCCTTGGCTTAGGGTATAGAGTAGATCTCAACAGGGAAAGACTGCTACTCAGGCCACAAATTTCAAGGTCTTCTTTAAACTGTAGTTGTTATTGTTTTTATAAAAGAGATGGCATACTATAATTATTTGAGTACAGAAAAATAGACACTTAAACCCAAGTGAGCTAGATGAGGGCTTTCACAGCCACGGTATTTCATGACAATGGTCAGCAAAGGACTGTATACACATGGTGGTCTCATGGATTGTATCTCCTGATGTCACTGGTGCCATACTATCTAAGTCTGTGTAAGTGCACTTGGTGGTAGCCACACAATTAAATGCATTTCTCCTGATGTGTCCTCATTATGTGACCAACTCAACATTTTAAGTTCCCTGTCATATGGAGACATAAAATGATCTACAGAGATTTTATTTGGAGAAGTTGTTGGAAAGTTATGACTCTCATGCAGCCCTCCTAGCATGGAAGGGCAAATGGCTTCTAAGAGAAGCGGGGACAATCAGAGAGAATTGTAGGCTTGCCTTACAATCTGGGTGAAAACCATGCATCAAACCTACACCGTGTCTGAGAAACTGGGTAGATGAAATGATGGATAAGGAGATGTGGGCAGCACAAGAAGGTCATAGAGCAGGGAAGAAACTGCACTTCCAAAGTGGGCCGAGGACAACTGAGGTTCTCCTGATGAGGGCAGGTAAGAGCCCAGAGATAAGAGCCTATCAGATTCCATCCAGAAGACAAGAACGGGAGAAGCCTGTTACATTAGAGAACTTTGGATCAACTCTATAGGAAGCACGGTATCTCTTCTCTGGGTGTGAGGGAAGCCACCTGGAACCAGGATAGTATCTAGCCCAGGATGAAATTGTTAGAAAAAGAACAAATCAGAAAGATCAGCAGACAAATGGCACATAAACCATAACTGACTGATATGTAAAGCCCACCTTGATCTAGTGTTGTGCTTATGAGACCCAATATGCATGTTCTCTGCTGAGCTAGCTTGAGTTAAGATTTGCTGGTATATATATAATTAAAAACACTTCATTTTTATCATTTTTTCCAAATTATCTGAGAGAGTGTCTACAGTCTAGATCTGTACTAGACTACATCAGTACAAAATCTGGAAAATGCAAAATAATCAGAATAACAACTTCATGGGGTTCTCTATGGATTAAGCCTATCCCAGGATAATATGTGGACTCTAAATTGTACAGGCAGTGAACGAGGGAATTCGACTACTTGGGGAAAAAAGAAACAAGTAGAAGCAATTATGAGTTACCTGGTAATGAACTCTCTGTGACTCAGAAGAAACTGACTGCAAGTCCTAATGAAAAAAAAGAGAGAGAGGAAAAAATCCATACCTTACCGTTAGCTTGAACAGTTATTCCACATTTCTACCAACTGAACTCCCAATTCAATATCACCATGTTTATCTGAAAGGTTTCTTCATTCATCGAGGTTGGCCAATGAAGTTCATGCCAGAAACAATAATATCATACTAACTTTGATTGAGAGAAGATGGGTCATTTGTGTTTTACAACTCAGGAGGTTTATAGGTTAGTGATATCCAACTGGTGGTTTTGTTATAATAAATGGCAATCCAGTTTCATTGTATCTAAACTCTCTGGCTTATGGAGAAATCTTCTTGGACAACCTTAAATGCCTAGAATTTATCTTGTACTAAACATATATATTACCATACACTTACAAAATGCTTGGCAAACAGGAGTATTCATAAACATCAATCAAGAAAAAGTAACCACTGACCATGTCCATGTCATCACAACAGGCAGGTTGACAGATGTGAAAGAAAATGGGCTTTTGACAGCTGATTCTGAAGACAGACACCCCCTTATAAAGTTTGATAACTAAGTTGTCACCACTGTCATAAGCCTCAGGCATCCTTGCTAATGAGTATGCTAATCCCCTGTACAGATGTCAGCAGTCCTGGGTACCTCTGTCCTTACACCTGCTTCCCAAAGGGTTTGTCATCTGGCTCCATGCCCATGTAACCTTTGAAATTTCTCTTTACTTATTGAGATCATTTTTTCCCTACTAAATCTACTTTTAGTTGAATGTTAGTGCGATAAGCATGCCAATAACTTGGGTAAGTTGATTTTCGACAAAGCCAACGAATTAGCCATGTGTTTTGCCACTGGGGAGTAAGGCTGTCACTTGAGTATTAAATGTTCTTTAAATTGAAAAAGATATAGTATTAGTTATGAGTCACTTTTAAAGATTTTATTTTATTTGTATTTGTATGTATGTATGTATGTATGTATGTATGTCTTTGTGTGTGTGCACACACATGTGTGCTCATTGAAATTAGAAAGGATGTCAGATCTCTTGGATCTGGAGTTACAGGTGATTGAGAGCCATACCACATTGATCTGAACACAGTCCTCTGGAAGAACAGCAGAGGTTCTTTACTGAGTCAACTCCCCAGTCTATAAATCCCCACCCTGTTTTTACTAAGGTTTAATGTATAACAGTCCACAGTAAAATGAAGTATTACTTTGAAAACTGAGAAACTATAGATTCTTTAAATCTATATTAGGATCCAAGTTGCATGCTAAATGTTCACAGATGTTTTATTCTTTTAGTCACCCACACTAAAAATAGCTAAACAAAGCCACACCTATAAAATTTACTGACTTTCTAATTCACACTGGTGTTCAAATTTTGGCATTTATCCCTAAATATATTTTGGTCCATAATTATACCTATACCCTTAAGAATTTTAAGGATGAAATTAATTTTTAGAACCATCAGTATGTGCTTCCTACCCAGATTCATTTCTAGGGAAATATAATGTTCAAAGATAAATGACCACAAGTTAGCAGGATTTAAAAACTATACATCAGCTTTATTTACAATTCATTTAGGCTTATTTGGTCATGTATTATGTATTAAATGGAACAGAGCTGTTCCTCTAGGAGAATCCTTCAAATCACCTGTTAGTTTTCAAATACAACTATTTCAATTAGCACCATTTGAGGAAAGATAATCTAATGAGAATGGGAGTCCTTCATCGGGAAGCAATGATGGAGAGAAATGTATATGCTTCTACCACTCCTGGGATGGAGATAGCTGCCCACCCCTACCTGCCATACCTACATACACACAATTTTGCCAAAACAACCAACAGTAATTGTAAATGATGAGTTTGGGTCTCTTGACTTTGCTGGCTCAGGTCAAACTCATGAGAAGGTCATCTATGAGATTGATTCCTTCCTGGTTTTCAGTGGTAAGACCAGACTAAGGGAAAATTCACAGGCCAACAAATTATCTATTTGGTTCTGATATATCTCCATGGATAAGTTTCTTTTTCCTGTGGAAGAAGTTTCATTTAAAAAACAAAATCTATCTCTCACAGAAGTCTGTGCTAGACTCAAAACATCAAGTAGCTTAAAATCTCCATGTTCTTTCACTGTTTATTAGCTCTTTTGAAATTTTGAATAACTATAAGTATAGAGCTATGTAGCCTGGCAAGAAGGCAGTATTTCCAAGCTAGAAGATAGCCATGGAATACACCTGGGCACCAGCACCTGTAGTTAATCATTCGGTCCTCTTACAGCAACTGGCAGAGGGAACCAACGGTAGAGTTGGGAGGGTATACGCTCTACAGACAAGGCCACAGTGCCACTTCCTCATCACACGTGTCATGCATATGTGTACAGAGTTGTAATTTCTTATTTGAGGGAAATTCTAAAGAGAATAAATAACAAATCAACTTACCTCCTGTAGGCGATCTATGTACATACGGCAAGTCTCCAAATCACAGTCTCCACGAACAACTAGAATACCTAGAGGGATAGCTGAGGGAGAAGGAAAACAGAAAATCTAAAATAACATATCTGGTCTTTAGACTGACTTAAATGTGTTTTTCATGGGTAGAAAGAATCTTACAGGCATTATAGAAATCTGGATACAAGCATGAACAGAAGTAAGTATACGCTCTATAAAACCCCCTCGGTGGTCTCCGGGAGCTTCTTCTCCTTCCCAGCAGGTGTCATATATTTGCCCTGTTTGACTCATGTGGTCCCCGCCACCTGGATTTTACCTCCATGGCCCTGATATGAAATATACTGTCTAATATCACAGTAACAATAGGACTGGAGAATTAAGCAGCTGCTCACTGCCAGCTGATAATAAATGCCCCGCATTTGCAACGGACAGCATGAAGGCATAGCCTGAGGAAGTAATTAATCATTCAGGATTCTGGACACTCACCCTCTCCCCTCCTGAACACACTAGCTTCGTCTTTTGGCACATTTGCAATAGCTTGCTATTTCTAAAATGGAAGCTATTCAAATACTGCTGCTGCATGATGGGTAACAGCACAATTAAATACCTAAAACTGAAGGAGGAGGGAGTAAGCAGGAGGACATAGGAAGAAAGGATCCTTGAAGATAAGTAGTCATAAACCAAAGTGATTTTAAAGCAATTCAGCATTAAATGTGGTACCATCAAGACCTTGGGTAAGGTTAAGGAGAAGTCTAATTATCTACTTACTTAGATATTCTGTTTAGGTAACAAGATGCTACACTGGTTTTAGTGGGCAGACCTTCCTACTTCAAATATAAACATTGTGATTTCTGAAATATTGAAAAAATATTCCCCTTCCCAAAACAAAAAAGTCCACACTTCTTATTTTAAAGTACAGTTGCAATATTAGATCCATGACTTAGCACAAGTATGTCAAATCCATCAGCAAGAAAGTAGAAATCAACTATATGACTGTGGTGTTCACTATTTTCAAGTCTTTCATGGATTAAATTTAGTTTTAAAGCTTAACGATAAATAAAATTATAAAGTCGGGGACTATAAAAAACTAAAAACAGGATAATATACATTTAAATGTATAAAAATGTCTTGAGTAACTCTCAAAGTAGTAAAGGAATGAATGAACAAAAATAAATAAACAAACAAATAAATGAATGAATGAATAAATAAATAAATAAAATTGTAAGTATGACATAATTTATACTAATGGTATTCTCTGAAGCATACAAAGTCCCTTTGGTCTTTTATCTGGAAAAGCAGGGATGGTCCCAAGAATAAGAAACAGCCCCTTCCTCAACATTGTTCCCTGGATTGATTTCCACTAGGGAGAACAGATCAATACCACTTCTTCCTTCCTGAAGGTTCCTCAAGTCCTGCATACATCAATCTTTGGAGCATCCATCACCTTGTTGGACTCTGTAAGCCTGTGGGTGAGTATGAATACTTATGCATCAAGGATAAAGCCTTGTTACTCTCCATGCATGGTAGAGAAATGGTAGGTACTCAAAACATGTGTGTAAAAAGAAAGACGATGAGTTTGCACTCCTTCAAACGTGAAAGAGTAAAGTGTGCCATTACAACACACATCGTTTTTGAGGGGTAGACAAAAGTAGAAGCGGAAAAATAAAGACCATGTGTGGGGTTCCAACTCACTTCTGGTTGTTCTTCAAGAAAGCTAAGTGAGGGGGTCAATAAGTAGGAGTTGACGATGCCTCTGCGTGCCGTATGTTTGGGAGGATAACCTTGGATGACTACAGCTTCCTCCTTTTTGACAGTAAAGAGAAGCATTAAGATGTTTTAGAGTGGTACCCAGGCATTGTGGAAGGGAATGGAAAGGAAGAACAAGCACCACTTTAAGGCACTCCTGAAGGGGATCCTCCAGGCATGCTGTGCTCTAACACCAGCACAGCACAGGCTGAGTCACAAATTACAGCCCCGTCTGGGTGACACAGAAAATTCCAGGGTGAGCCACAGAGTGAGATGGCCTTAAAACAAGCAAGCAAACAAAGGAAGGAAACTGTTCTCAGCTATACTATCAGATAAATCAAACTATGGTGACCTGCCAAGCTAAGAGTTAAATAATGTTTTAATAGTTGGAGAATGGTGAGGAAAGGTACAGGTTTTGGTCTAGGTATAGAAGTGAGTCAAAAGTTGTGGAAACTGAATATAGCTATAATTGAGGCAGTTTACATGGAAATCTTTCTGATATGCAAAATACTTCTTCTTAATTTCAAATCTGAAGAAGTAAAACTCAATCAATACTTATCTATTTTCTTACATTTGGAGATAAACTTCAGAGAAATTAAGAATACGCCTTCCAATACCTCTGATCTCCTTCAATTATCAATACTGGAGTTACTCTTGTCTGAATATAAACTAACCAATGTACCCTAATTACAGGTATTTTAAACTATAGTTAGATAATGAATGTTTGTGGTTGAGAATCCACCAGGAACAACTAGAAAAGCTGTTTTTCAAAGATGTGTAACTCATGTCCACTACATGGATAATCGACTGCTTTTGCCGACTGTTGAAATAGGTGACTAAAAATAACTGTATTTGACTAAATGATGCTTAGCTATTGGAGAAAAAGAAAGACAACCTCTCTCGCCACTTCACCACATGGTTGTGCTCAGTGATCAGGTGCACTCTCAGAAGGCAGCAGTGTGCAGGAGGAAGTGTCCACAGCCACACATGGCCTCTACTCCCAGCACTGTTTTGGACTTGAGAACTGTTCAGCTTAGCTCTTTGTTCTTTCTCAGACATTACTCAATCCCTTTTAGCCTTGGCTTGAAAACTACTGTGTTTAGACAAGGTATTTGCAGAATTTTGTAATGATGAAATTTCACACCACATTTAAAATTGGATTAAACCATCAATGTTGGTCTCCTTCACTACCTTTTGGACATCTTCCATTAGAAAATGGTATCATTCTACTACAAGGGTCAGCTAGTGTTAGAAGTTCCATGATTATATACCCTTGTTTAGGAAAAAGTCATTTCCACTCTTTCTGCAAATGAGAAAAACTTAACTGTACTGCAAAAATGTCACAGTCACCTTGATTCGGGGCTTATGTGATAAGAAGAAACCAGAAACTTGTGGGAAATGAACACCTTCCTTTTGCATTATTAATAACCAGCTGCCAAACTTCATTTCAAAGTTTCCTCCATTTCAGTTAAGAATAGTAGAAAGACTGTCTCTGGCCTGAGCCTTAGTGTCCCTGCAACTGTTTGGATTCATCTTCTGATCATCTTGGAGACTCCACCTTCAGTAAGTGCCAACGAATAGCGATTCTACATAATGGGATGTATATGTGTGTATATATATATATATATATATATATATATATATATATATATATATATATATATATGTTAGAATTTACAGTTTCTAACTAAGCAAAAGAAAAAGGGAAAGCTGCCTTCTTGAATAAAATGACAGATTTAGCAAACTTCTCTTTCCTCAAAAAATGTTACTGACTATAGTAAAAATGTAATTTTAAGATTAAAAAAATAGGATGTATTATCAAGGAGAATACAGAAACAAGAAGTGGAACAAAGATTAGTGACTGAGCCAGGGTCCCTCAGAGTCTATCCCTAAAAGTGTAAGATAGACACAAAACAGGGAAAATATGCAGAAATATGCAAGGATGGAGTCCCATGGCATATCCTCCGTCATCACTCACAGGAGACAAATGCACCTGGAGGTAAATTTAAACAGGAATTCCAGCTCAACATATTCAGGAATTGAAGATTTCTCGTAAATGGTTGGATCTCATCCAATCAACCATGATTTTTAGATTCTAAATAAAATGTTGATAAGTTACTGCAACTTAATTATTGGAAAATTTCCTGATGAAAGAAATTTTAATTTTTTGTGTATTTCCATGCATTTAACTGTATCCTCTGAGTTTAATTCTTATTTTCATCTTGTTGTCTTTCATTAGTTTTCATTATGTAAATTAAATCTCCTAATAATTTTTTGAAAGAATATCAAAGAGAACTAAAAGCACAATAGAAAACAGAGAAAGAACTTCAAGTTTGGATGGAAGCTCATATCACAGAGATAAACAGTATTTACGAGAGATGAAACTTGAACTGCCTCCTGGGCATTTGAAATTTTTCATTCTTGCCTTTGGCTTTATCTGAAGCTATTTGAAATTAAACACACGTGAATGCTTTGGGCCTCCAAACTTTCAGCATATTATGAAAGGATTTTCTCTATATCAAGAGACCCTATCTAAAGGGTTATGTCATAATGAAATCACAGTGTGGACATCAACAAATCTAAAACTCTCAACTCCAAAAAGTTTAGAATTCTCTCTGAAAAAGGAGAGGGGAAGGGAGGGGAAAGAAAAGGAGGAGAAGGAAAGGGAGACTCCTCCAAGGGCTTGCACTAAGCATCACCGGGAATGTTAGAAACTGAGTGGAATAGGGCAGCTGAAGTTGGAGCGCTGTGTGTTAGATAACTAGATCCTTATTACTCCCTCATGTTAGGCACAGTTACTATCTAGAAAATGGGTAATAACTGGAAATTTGCAGAGTACAGTGACCTGGAACTTCATCCCCTCATGGGGCTTGCCAAAATCTGGCATCAAGGGATCTACAGTCTTGGCGTGAAGAACGACTCCTTTGAAATCTGATAAACCCATGGCGCGATGTGTTAACACGGTGGCAGACCTACCCCCAGCACTTGTTAAGCTCTAAGGCAGGAACATCACACTTGAATTTCATATACCTCTATAGTCATAGTTTTAACATACAGTTCCAAAATTGTGAGCGTAGGGTACACTTTCCTACTTTGCAAATAGACCTTTGCTGATGCCTGAAGGTGTCAGAATCAGAATTCTGGAGTACTGGAACAAAGCAGGGTGTCAGAGGCCCAAATTCAGAGACCCCTTCTCTTTCCATCACATGCTCTATTCAGAACACTGAGGGCCTCAACATGTGGATAAACCAGAACACACCTCAGGATTCTCCAAAGCTCATGCAAACAGTTCCCTGTACCAGGGCTTGCTTGCATCCACACTAAG